CAGGTCTAGCAGCATCTGTGAAGGGAAAAACAGAGTTAACGTTTTGGTTTCCTTCACAGACGCTGCTAGACCTGCTGAGCTTTTCCAGCAACTTTGTTTTTGTTCCTGATTTACAGCATCCACAGTTCTTTCGGTTTTTATATAAATATAGCAGTATTTGCTCACACCGAAACTGAGTGGCAACTGCGCCCGCTTGCTCACTTGAAACCATGCATGCACGTGTTGCTGTGCCATGCCCAAAGTGTACACATGTGCACAAAACAGCCACGATACTGAAACAGGGTTCAGTGACAGAAAACACCTCCCAGAGGATGGCAGATCATAGATGTTGGGAGGATTGGAAAAGACTTGGCTGTGGGCGGGGGGATATTGAAGAGGCTTCTCCCTTTCTCCTCTCTTCCTGGATTTCCAAGACCCCTCCTCCGACTCCCAATCTCCACCCCAAACCCCTCCAGCCGAGTCCTGATCTCCAAGGAAACCGTGCATATGCCGAAATCACCTCCCTAGAGAATAACTGCATATTTCTCGGTGTCAGCAAATGCAGCCTATAATTATTCCAGCTACAAGAGCGGGTCAGAGGCTAGGAATGCGATGGCAGGAAACTCATCTCCTGACATCCCCAAAGCCAATCCACTACAAGTCTAAAGTTTCATGGAGTACATGCCACTTGCCAGGACAAATACCCTTCATTCAACACAGGATGCTCAACACCATCCAAGGCCATTTGAGAAGCAACCCTGTTCACTACCTTAACGTTCGCTCCCTCCACTACTGGCACAGTACAGCAACAGTGTGTATCATCTAAAATATACACTGGAACAATTCATAACCCTTTCAACAGCACAAGCCAACAAATTCTACCATCTAATAGAACTAGGATAGCAAATGCCCGAGAAGACTAACATTTGCAAGTTTCCCTCCAACTCACATACGATCCTGGCTTGGAATTATATTGCCTATTCTTCACTGTTGTCGGGTCAAAATCCTGTAACACTCTGTATGCACTTTCACCACCTGCAACACAAGGTCGCTCACCACCTTATTTGCAAGACAATTAGGGATGTATTAAAGTCTAGCCTTGCTCGTAATGCCATGAACTATTAAACATTTAAGCTTGACAGTTTTGCAACACTTAATTGTTCAATCTAAACAAGATTCATCTATACATACTGCTGGTAACAACTTCTGTACTTCCAGCACTGACTCTGTTTCCATTTTTGGGCTCAATGTGAGAATTTGCTGAGTGACAAATATAAAACATCTTTGGATCAACTGGACCTAATATAAATTAAACAAAATAACCAAAAGACTGACTCAGAGATATTCGATTCAGTGATTATAAAGGATATTCTATTCTATAATGCTTGATTAGTACTCTGGTTCTGTGATATAAATATTAAAACACTAAAAATCAAACATTATGTCATAGTTCAAAAATATATTACCTTCGAACCCACATCCCAAGGGTTTGAATGATATAGAGTCACTTTTCAGCTCAACAGCAACACATTTAGAAGAACAGGTGGTACTGTGCAAACAACCAGGGTAAAATAATATCTACTGCAGCTACAAAATGATCATAAATCTCAACATCACACAGAAGGAATTAAAACATAATTCATACTTAAATGAAGACTCAAGGATTTGTTCACATAAGCTCATTAATTGACTTTCATCTCTTTTAAACTGTGTCTGCGCAAGTAGCCTCCCTTTCTCATTAGAAAGAAACGAGTTGAAGGGTGAAGTTCCATTTTGCAGCAAGATTTTAAAAAGTGAGCCAAGTTGAAATCAATCAAAAATCATTACAAAATGCACAAACTTATGTTTTAAAGGCTGAGCTTTATAGTTGGTAGGAGACACTAAGTGACAAGAAGGATTTCTATTCTGCACTCCTGAAAACCAAGTACTGCAACAAGGTTTGATCTCAATAAAAAGAGAAAATGGGAGGTGGGGGTTGCAAAATGGGTGTGTTGTGACAGCTGCAGTGTTGGATGACTGAAAGGAAATCAAAACCAAAAGAACTGTGGATGCTGTACATCAGGAACAAAAACAGACATTTTTTTTCCTTCACAGATGCTGCCAGACCTGCTGAGCTTTCAGCAACTTCTGTTTTTTGTTCCTGAAAGGAAATCAAGATGGATACTAACCATGGCATATGGGCTGTGACACAGGCTGCAAACTGCAGGTGATAAGAATACTTCTTTTTTCCAAATTAATTCATGGAATGTGGTTATTGCTAACAAGACCACTGCCCATCTCTAACTGCCCTCGGAAAATGCATTTTGAAACATTACTGCCCATCTAATTCTCTACCACAGCACTATTAAATAGGGAGTTTCAGCACTTTTCTTGCATGGACAATGAAGGAACAATGATATATTGGCTATAGGGAGGCAGGTAAGTCGCTCAAATGCCCAGCTTTTGATCTGCTCTTTTGACGCCAGTATGTATGATCTTAACTTGATCCAATTAAGTTTCCGATTACAGTAACATCCAGAACTTTGATGGTAAGGATTCAGCAATGGTAATTTCGTTGAATGTCAGAGCAATCTGGCCAGGCCCTTACATTGAAGGTGGTCATTGCTTAGAACAGACAATCATTTGTGGAAGCCTTAATGTTATCTAGGTGTTGCTGCTTGAGGACAGACAGCTTCATTATGTGAACAGCTGCAAATGCAACAGAACAGTGTTCAATCATCATTGATGAACATTCCCAATTCTAGCCTTATAATAAAAGGGAGGCCATCAATGAGGAAGTTCAAGGTGGTTGAACCTAGGACATTTCCCTGGAGATTCCAATTAATCTCTAATCCTGGAACGTTATGCTGGTATTTGACAGCAAATGAAAGAATTTGCAAGTCTTGAATTTCTTTTATTCAAGGAAAAAAACTTGAGCAAACCAAAAAGCAAGCTTTACATGAGGAGTTCAAAATATTGAGGCTGATGTAAAAAGAAACTACCATGACTCAAAATCTTAATAAATGAAAGGCAAGGATGAAGTCAGCAGTTACATTAGGGTGCATTAAACCGCAAATCGAGAATATCACACAACAAATAACTCCTGAAAGCAAGGTTGTTGACTTGCTCGCCCTCGTTCAGACGTTTCATCACCATGCCAGGTGAAATAATCAGTGAAGCCTCCGATAAAGCGATGTTGGTATAAATTTCAAGCAGAGTAGAATAAAACATCGCTTCATCGGAGGCTCCAATGATGATTTCACCTATCACGGTGATGAAACGTCTGAACGAGAACAAGCCAGCTCGGCGAGCAAGTCAACAACCTCGCCCAGAACCTGAGCTAAGATCTTTACTTTAAAGTTTAAACACGTGAAAGCACTAGTCAAATTGGTACAATTCTAGTGGCAAAGTCTTGTTTTGATTTATTGTCACGTATATCATTATAAAATACAGCAAAAAGTGTTGTATAGTGTTGCCACTCTCCAGTGCCATCTTAAACACAGAAAAATAAACCAAAACAGAATATAAAGACAGAAAAATGAAAAATTAAAGAAGAAAAGTGTTCAACTTTCCAGTCCTTCTTGTTAAGTGCTCCGTCATGGGCCATAGGCAGAGAACCGACATCAGACCCAGAAGAAAGACCTCATTCTATTTGTATTATCACACATAAAATATAACTCCAAGGAAATGTCAATTTAAAATGTGACAGCCATTCCACTGAGTTCACAGAACAGAAAAAATGTTTTAAATGACTGCACAGAATTAAATAGTTGAGACACTCTAGTCAACCCAATACAAGCAGTCAAAAAATTTTGTCAATGAGAATAGAGATCACATATGCCCAGAGTGCAAAGAGCTCTCTCCTGAGTACATGCGGTGTTAGCTTCAAGCAGTATAAATAAGGTGAAGCCTGCTGGAGCACAACTTACAATTTCCATTCACAAACTTGTACTTCAATCCGAAATTACCTATTCTATTTACATTTCCTATAAATGCTCCAAAATACCTTTCTTGGTTATAAAGGAAATAAAATTAATAAGCGAGCGTTAAGAATGTTTAACTATTTTAGGTTTATTTTAAATTATAAAACTGTTTCTTCTTTTCAAATACAATGCAGAACTTGAACTTCTGCCAAAAGCAGATTTGTAAATAATTTCGTTGAAAGCATAGGAAGTCATAAAGAACAATGTACCTGCTAACTATGATGCTGCAAACTCTGAAAACTGTTTACCATTAAATTGTTTTGATACATCAAGAATTCTCCCTTTCAAGATGATTTAACAATGACAAGAGAAGCTGTTACTTTTTCAGATCCACGTACAACAGAAGTTCTCTTCAAAATTAGCCTTCATACATGACGTATTGTGGACGACTTCACAATTTTGACAAACAAACAATCAGATCTGAGCTCTCACAAAAAAAACATTCCTCTTACGCTGAGACAAGACAAAGCCTACAAGTTTACACTGGGATGGAGGATATAACCTGTATGTATTATTTATTTGCATATACTTAATTAATATTTTGATGGATTCATAACAACATATTCATTCTTAAGCGGATATATTATGGGGGGGGGGGGGGGCAAAGGGGGGGGGGGGGGGGGAAGTGTGTGGGGACAGTGGTACGGACCAGACCCCCGCATAGGGGGAAATGTGGGTGCTGCTAGTGTGGGGCTGGAGTGCAGGCATGGGGGTCATTCGTGAATCAGTCTGATGGCCAGGGGGGTGGCGGGGGGGGGGGGGGGGGGAGAGAGGGGGGGGGGGGTCGCGGGGAGAGTGGGGGGGGGAGGTCGCGGGGAGAGTGAGGGAGGGAGGTCGTGGGGAGAGTGAAAGGGGGGTTCCTGGGGAAAGTGAGGAAGGTGGGTGTGGGGAAAGTGAAGGGCGCGGGTTCGCGGGGTCTTTGTCCGCCACGCATTTCACACTTTCCTGATTATCCCTGCCAGCCCCTCCCCCCGACTTACGAGAAGGAAACGTCGCGTCACCTCACCGACGACATTCCCGGTGCCGGTCTCTGTCCAAAGGCCACCCTAAAGGCCTCTGCCGGTTTCGCCCGGACGTTGTTTTACTGCGTTGCCTTCAGCCTTGGGCTCCGTCCGTCCGTCTGTCTGTCTGTCGCTCGCTCACCCACCAGCTGCTTCCAGCCTCTCGCGCCCGGTCGGTTGGCGGCTCGCGCTCCGGGGCCTTGGCGGCGGCAGCGACACCTCCAGCCCTCCCCCCCACTCACTCACTCACTCACTCACTCACTCAACGTGACTGTCCCGCCGCTGCCGATCTCTTTTCACCGATCATATGGCAATGCGGTACCCGCACACCGACCTCCCTCCCTCCGAGTGCCAACAAAACCTTCACCCGCACCCGGTCCCTGATCCTGCTGCACCGACAGGAAGGGGAAACCGCTAGGGAGACAGATAACCCAACCCACCACTCAGCAGTGCGCCCGAAACATTTCCCTCAATCGTCTTCTTTGGAGCGGTGGCACAGCTGGCGTACGTTTTTTTTGGATTTCCCTCCTGTTCGCTCATATTTCTATCCCTCTAAAGGTATAACACCACTCCACCACCTTGTCCCACGTGGTATGACTGACGAGTCAAGAATAACATTTCACTGCAATGGGGACCACCGGACAAATGAACACCAATACAGTGTAATCCTACACTAAATTTCATATATTTCTATGCCAATATTTGTAATGGGAATTACCTATGCAAACCTGTCATTGTGTAATGACATACCCCGCCCCTGGTGGTGCTACAGGGATTTTAAAAAAGGGTAATAACAGGGGGTGGCAATTTTGCCTACTTTCCTTTAAAAAATGTGGACAAAGGATTTAAAAAGGGAAAGGAGGTCAGGAGGTACACAAGAAATGTGCAATGAAAGACTTTTAATATCTTGATAGTAGTCAAAACTTCTGTTACACTTTGCAAATGAAGCAAATATCGTGCTTTTGTTTCAGGTCCAGTATCCAAAGTGATGGAAAAATTCAACAGACCTTCCATCATTTGTGTAGAGAGGAACAAAATTAACATTTCAATACCAAGTTCCAAACAGTCAATTTGAAAATTTGAAACAGCCACACCGTTGCGTATAGAAATATAAAGCCAGTAGGAAAGAACAATTGCAATAACCAAGGAGAGAGTTCCAGAGTTGAAAATTTTCACAGTCGAAGACACAGCCATGAATTGTTGAACAATTATTTCGCAAACGTTTCGTTACCATGCTGGGTAACATCCTCAGTGCAGCCTCCGATGAAGCGTCGGTGTCTTTTCCCACCTGGTTTTTAAACTCTGGAGTGCGTTGAGCTGGATTGCCTCACTTCCGGTTTTCCTTCATAGTGGAACTCCACTCAATCCACTCAGCCCAAGAATTCCTCAACTCCATCAAAGACATAAGGATAGACAACGAAGAGACCCTGATATCGTTTGATGTCACTGCCCTATTTACATCAATAGACATACCACTAGCAAGGGAAACAATGATGACACTTCTGGAACAAGAGCAAGACCCCAGTGAAACCATATCCACAGACAACATGCTCAAACTACTGGACCTATGCCTCACCACCCACTTCACTTTCAACAGCCAAACATATGAACAAATCAACAGGATCCATGGGATCACCTATCTCCGGACTCATAGCAGAGGCAGTGATGCAAAGACTAGAAAGGACAGCCCTTCCACAAATCCAACCAAAACTATGGATACGCTATGTGGACGATACCTTTGTCATCATTAAATGGACCAAACTAGAGGAGACACACAAACTTATAAACAACACTGTCACTGGAATAAAATTCACCAGAGAGGAGGAGAAGAACAAACAGCTCCCGTTCCTGGACGTCATGGTAGAGCGGAATACAAATGGGGAACTGCAAACGAAAGCACACCGAAAAGCCACACACACGGACCAGGTACTGAACTTCAACAGTAACCATCCCAGCACACACAAACGAAGCTGCATGCGAACATGATTTAAACAGGCAACAACACAGAACTATCCCAAGAGGAAGAAGAATACCTCTTCCAGGTTTTCAAGGACAATGGGTATCCAAAAAACAGGGTCAGAAGATGCCTACACGAACAACATCAGGAAGATACTACATGCCCCGACACACTCATCACACTACCCTATATCAGGAACACATCGGAACTCACCACAAGACTTACGACCGCTGCGCATCAGAGTGGCACACAAGCCCACATCAACCCTGCAACAACTGCTCACCCGAACTAAAGACCCACTCCCCGCCATGGACAGGACCAATGTCATCTACAAGATCCGCTGCAGAGACTGCGAGAAACACTACATCGGACAAACAGGAAGAAAACTAACAACAAGGGTACATGAACACCAACTGGCTACAAAAAGACACGACCAATACTCACTAACTCATCTCAATCCACATGGACAAGGAGAACCACCATTTCAACTGGGACAAGCTGGGCAGAAACAGGCACGAGAATTCCTAGAAGCCTAGCACTCCACGAAGCATGCTATTCATAAACACATTGAACTCGACCCCATATACACTCCACTACAAAGGAAAACCAGAAGTGAGGCAATCCAGCTCAACGGACTCCAGAGTTTAAAAACCAGGCAGGAAAACACACCGACGCTTCATTGGAGGCTGCACTGAGGATGTTACCCAGCATGGTAACGAAACGTCTGTGAAACAAGAAACCAGCTCGGCGAGCCAACCAACCTCAACACCCACAACCCGAGCTACAAATCTACTCCAAAACCTTGTTGAACAATTAAAATGGGAAAAATGTTCAACAGACCAAATTGTCAGAGAATGAAGACTACAGGGAGGTGTAAGACTGGAGGAGTGTTTCCTACATTTAAAAGTGACTGCACTTCAAAAGTATTGGCAATAAATGCTTTGAGACATCCAATGGTTCAGGAAGGTGCAATATAAATGTACAACTTTTTAAAAAGAAGTGAGGAGGGGAGAGACTTGGATGGATTTAAAAACAAGGATAACAATTTTAAAATCAGGCTGTTTCTTAACTAATAATCAATATAGATCAGCTAGCTTAAGGGTGATTAGTGAGCAGAACTTGGCATGAGATAATGACCTCAAGTCTGTAAAAGATAGAACATGGTAACTCAGCCACATTGCAATAGTTAAGTCTATAAGTAAAAAAGGCACAGATGAGGGTTTTAGCAGCAGGTCAGCTGCAGCAAGGGCTGGGGTAGGCATTATTATACAGAAAATATGCAGTTTTAATGATGAAAGCTATGAATGCTGAAGAATAATTGTTTATGAAGAAAGAATACATGAAGGTGGAGAAGCAAAAAGAGGTAAAATGTTAGGAAAGGTAAAGAAAATAAGGGAAATAGAAAACATGGATGAGGATCCAGAGTGGCAGGTAGAATGTGCATGAGAACATGCTAAGTGACGTAGATGTGCTTACAGTATGAACAAACTGATGTCTGGGTGATATAATGGCAGACCATTGAGGTGTGAATTCCATTAGTTTAAATGTTTCCAGAAGCAATACAAGAAAGCTGTCACTGGTGACTAGCTTTCTATAGGGAGATAATTCAATCAGTGGTGCTTTAGGATGGTCTCTCAGGAGTCAAAGTTGGTGAATGTAAAAATTGTAGCAGTGGAATGCCATTGTTTCAGATGTCATCTGTCGATTGATCAGGGCAGCAGTGGGAAGTTGCATTCCAAAAACACCATTTCTAAAGCCATCAAGAAAAAAGTCTCTTGGTTGATATGCCTGAAGAAAGAAGAAACATAGCATGGTCTCCATGATCAGATTCAAATTAATTTGTGATTCCAAAACCATGGAAATCGCCACGTTTCGATATCTTCCAGTGGAGCTATGAAAACATTGTTATTTTCAAATAATTAACATCTTGCAATTTTTAAATGCTTCTTAAGAGTTAAGTTCAATATACCTAGCCTGCCTTCCCTTCTTCATCCTTTTACTTTGTTGTTTTCATTATGTCCCAGAATTTTAACCAGAAAAAAGAACAAATTTGCATTTATAAACCAACTTTCCCACATTTGGAAGATTATGAAGGACATCAAAATCAATGAGTTCCTTTTGAAACTTAAATCATTGTTTTGAAGACTAACATAAATATAAATTTATATGCAGCAAAGTATCACAAACCGTAATAAGATGAGGGACCCAGTTATTCTGTTCTGGTGATTTGAATCAAGGATTAACATTTGCCAGTTCCAATGTAACATTCCTTTCACCACTTTGATTTGATTTATTACTGTCTCATGTACCGAGGTACAGTGAAAAGTGTTGTCTTACGTCCTTTACAGACAGATCGTACTATACAAGTGCATCAGGGTAATAGAACAGAGTGCAGGATACAATGTTACAGCTGCTGAGAAGGTGCAGAGAGATCAATGTTAACATTAAAGAGGTCCATTCAAAAATGATGAGCACAGATTTAGTAAGTGACAATCTGTTTGAGGACTTGGAGAGGAAATTAAGGTTGGATATTGAACAGTAGTTTGCAAAATGATTCTTTCCCTTTTCCCTTCCTGTCTTTGGATCTCTCCTTAACTTTAATATTTGCTTCAGCAGCTTGAAGGTATATAATCAATTTTCATTATTCTTTCCATTTCCAATTTTGGTTTGGCTCTAAAATAAACAATAACTGGCACCTACATATTGTTTCTTCAAAATGTAGTTAACAACCTGAGGCAGAATATATACCAAGTGCAAGCCTAGATCAGAAATTTGTCCATTTGTACTGAGCGTAGTGGCTCAGCTTGATCCCCAGCAGTTGAATTTTTTGAGTGCCGAAAGAGAAAAATCAAAAAACATTTGTGTATGATCATCATTTGAGGATAGGCTCAGATTCTGCTTTAATTTACTCACAGTTATGATCTCAGCTGATGGCGATACTAGGCAAGTCAGATCCAAAAGAAAATCTGGTTTGATAGATCATATATTGAATTTTTACACTTGGTTAATGTAGTGGTCAGTTGCTGAAACATAATCACACAAGGCTATGAATGTTGTTTAGTAACAACATAAAAGTTTCCTACCTTAATTTCCATTTTTACAAAAAATAAAGCTATATATTTAGAGGGCAAAAAGAT